GGCAGCGCCCTCATCACGGCGCCGTCCACATCAACGCCCACGCCATTCAGCAGCAGCACAAAGACATAAACTACAGCAGCTATCACGATGCCCAGATCCAAAAAGTGAACAAACCACCAAAGATGCTGTGTCCCCATAGGACAGCTGTCATATTCCGCCTTCCACTCCCAGCTGGTCTCGTCGAACCACATACTCAGCAGGCCCGCATTGCCCCCAAACTCACCCATCATGCTCCGCACCGTGATCTCCCTCACGCCGGGGAGCCCTTCCCTGCCCACCAAGCCGGATTTTCTCGCCTGTCGCCACCTCTTGACCTCCCACTCTCGCTGCTGTCCAGCCTCGGGGTCGCTCTGGTTGATGAAATGCCACGTGTCGCATCCCTCGTGGTCGTGGCCATTAAGGATGATACCCGGCCGCCCTCTCCCCCGTCCCGGAGCATTGACATCTCCAGACATGCCCAACATGCCCTCCAGGAAGCCCTTGGACGCGTCGCGACTCAGCTGGTTCTGCTCCTTAAGAGTACCGTCATGGTCATGGAAATTGAACAAGGGATCATCGACGCAGATCCCCTCGGGTTTGTACAGCGGCACATGGGTCAAGATTACAGTGTAATGGCCCCTGAACTCTACCGCCGTAGACGTGCCAATGACCTTGTTGATGAAGCTGTAGGTTGCGTCTTGAAGCTCCGAGGACAAGGCCGGCGTGTCGAGGTTCATGTCGTTGAGGACTACGATGCGCAGCTCTGGGATCAGACGGTCGGGTTGGTCTTCGGCGATCGCCGCAGTGCGGGAACGTGTTCGATTAAGAGGCAGTTCGAATCGTAGCTCGTAATTGATCTTGCCAAAGGCGCGCTCGAACCGTTCGGTCCGTTCCGTGTTTATGTCCCCCGCATAGCCAATATCGTGGTTGCCTGCCACGTTGATGATTCGTCTCGTCCATACTCCCGACCCATCGAGGCTATCATCGCCACCGTCGCCTCCTCCGAGGTAGCCTGTCAGGTCGTACTCGTCGGCAGGATAAGTGGCGACGTCATCAGGCACGCGCTCGCCGCCTCGAAAGACGCGCGACCAGTACCGATCGGCGCGAAGATTGAACTCGTCGTCATCGAGCCATTGGCTGCCTACCAAATCGCCCAGCACCGTGACGTGGGTTGGCCTGGTCCACCAGCGCAAGGTGCGGTATTGATGGGCGAGGTAAAAGTCATTGCCAAAATGGTCGAGGCGCTTGCGGAGGGACTCGAAGTAGAAGAAGACGTCGTCGAACAAAATGTCGATCATGTCGTGAAGGCTTTCCCGGGCTCGTTCGCGGAGGGAGTTGTGTTGCGACTGGAAGGTAACATGTTTGATCAGGCTCGAGACGTGGGGGAAGACGCCGAGGTAGTTGGTCGGGATCGAGGTGGCGCCCTCGAGCTGGGGATCGCCAAGTGAGAGCAGCCGGAACGGTGCGAGACGACTCGGCGGCGCGGGGCTGGATCGTGTCTCGGTCCTGTCATGGTCTGCTGCTGTTGTGTCCTTCGCCGTTGGTTTATTTGAAGGCCAATGCAGTTTGGCCGTTTCGATGTAGGCGCCATGGCCCGTATCGGCTGAACCGCCGTCGTGATCTGGTGGCAACGGGAACGCGCAAGTCTTGAATACGGGATAGAGATAGAGGTAGGTCGTCAATATGACGGCCAGCGGAAAGAGGAGTCGCAATCCATTGCGCAGGATCGCGGTCGGAGACGATGCGCTCATGTGGGAGGAGAGAACGAATTATTCCCGTCTTGAATGCATGGGGGAAACTAACGGTAGGTTGACAACTATAGCGCTCACTAACCTGATGCAAACAATAGAATAAAGGAACACAAAAAGAGAAGATGAAGAAAAACAAGAGCACCTGAATCAGGCCTTGCGGATGAAAAAGGAACGTCGTGAAGCCAAAATCAAGTCGTGTTTCGGGTGTGGAAAGGAGCGGCAAAAAAGCGATCGCAGGGGTGCCGAGTTTATTTCCCGAGATCCTGGGCCGTCCAGCTGCTTGCTAAAGGCTTGGCAGGGGCTCCAGCGGTCTTTCCAAATTTGGAAATTCTATCTTCGGGGTGGGCAGCTGGCACGGGTATTGCCAAGCCCTCAAGACAGTCCGAATCAGCTGTCATTTGAGGTGCACCTATTTCTTGTCACTGAAACGAAACACCAGAGAGTATCATTTCAGTCTACAACGATATGCTGCGCAACAGAATCTTGAAGGCCAAAAGTCGACCTAACTATTGAACGAAAACATGACAAAACATCAAATAACTTGACGCGTCCCTCTTCATCAGCCAATCAACCCAAGCTCGTCAGAGTTGCTTTCATTTTCTTCCCCTCAATCCTCGCAGTCCTAACCTGAAGAGATTTGTTCTCACTGACCTCGAAGGGCTTTTGGAAGCAGCAGCACCCATCCCTCTCCTGACCCTGCTGGTAGAAGTTTCGGAAGGGGCTGCCTCATCTTCAGAACCGGTGTCATCTGCCTCAAAGTTGGCCAACATGTTCTCTAAGAGTGTCACATTCCCCAGGACCTGCCCCAGGCTGTCCAACAAAGTGCTGTTCGATCCATCGCTACCAGTGCCGGATACCAGCAGGCCGCTAAGTAACTCGGTGACGAGCGTGGCAGCAGGAAACTGAACCAACATCTTTTTGGTTCCGAGCACCTTCTCGAGATATGTGATCCTGTTCCCATTGTAAGATGTCGAGTTCCCCGTGGCGTTCAACTCGATGAAGCCATTGGAGATGGCACCGTTTTGCGAATCGAGAATAGCGCCCAGGTTGGGGATTAGCTGGTCCAGGTACAGCTCGCCTTGGAAGGCCGGAGTGTTGTTTCCCGGTTTAAGCGTGAGATCATACGCGGTGACGATACCCAGGTTGAGGTTGCCTGCCCAGAGGTTGAAAGAGACATTGCCCATGCTCAGAGTCAAGACGGCAGCATTGGGAATCATCAGCGTGCCGGCCACGTTGGTGCCGTTCGACTCGGCAGGAAGGATAAAGTTCATTTTGGAGACGCCGAATCCTTGAAGGCCGTTGAGACCCTGCACACGAATGGTCTTGTCCATGTTGACCGAGTATTTAAGCTTACCGAGGTGGGCAACCAAGGGGTCCGCCTTGACACGAAGTTCCGTCGTCTCGCTGTCAAAAAAGTCATTGAACCAGGCTACCAACTGCGTATCATCTTGGATCGTGGCAGTCTGGGTGGGGATCTCAACCTCGGTTTTGCCGTCGACGTACTGCTCTGGCATTTGAACAGTGACAAAGGGGGACTCGTTGTTATCGGCTCCCTCAGGCTGGGGAGCATGGAGAGCGAGCCCCACGGGTTCAATTACCACGCCGAGCGGAGTATCGAGCGAGGTGTTGAGAGCCATGGTCATGCTCTCCGAACTGGTAAAGACCATGGCGCCCGAAATGATTGGCAGAGCTTGGTTGTTGACGACATTCCTCATGATAGCCGGTATGATGACTTTGAACCTGGTGCGAGACGGTCAGAAGAAGGCGATCAGTGGAGGACAAGGAGCAACGAAGTCGACTTACAAGATGGGTAATAGGATGACGAGAAGAACAACGACTGCTGCCACATAGTACCACTTGAATCGACCGCAATGGCGCTTCACCTTTTGCCTCTTGCTCAACGCCTCGGGGACCGCCTTGCCGTTGTCTACGACGCCATCGTCGCCTGAAGAAACATCGTCCTGATGAGGCGGCTCTATTGCATCTACAGGGGCAGCAAAGTCTTTTGTTTTCTCATCATCCTGCCCGACCTTATCCTCCTGCTTGAGGATGTGTTTGTCGAGAATTTCCTTGACACCCATGATTGCGCACTGGAAAGGACTATCGAGGAGTGCGGATGTTTTGGAGGGGTGGGAAGGAAATGGAAAACAGCACAACAAGTCACATATCTCGCGGTCTTGCTCCTATGAGATGTGCAGGTCCAAGCTAATAAACCCCTTCGCCCTGATGAGCCCGGCACCATGACAGAATGGGGAACACCTGACGCATAATATGGCAAGAGTGGCACTGGCAGGACAAGATCTCCTCATTGCATTCCTCTAGCCTCCTAGATCCTGGTACAGGTTCTGTTCCATGGCCTGGGTGCAGAGGGGATGCGAGACTAACGAAAAGACGAGAGTTTGTTTCATGGAGGTGTGATTCTTCATGCTCCTCGGCAGTAGCAGCCTGGGAGTCAGACAAGTGTAATGTACCTACCGGTCCTACCCTTCTCTGTTGGAACCGATGCGGCCTCTCAAGGCTGTTGTGATCAAGTGTAGAGGCATGTCACGCAGTCCCATCTGCGCAAACCTATTCTTGATGATCGACTGTCGACTTCTCTTTTCGGTGTAAGTGATAGTGCAAGAGGAGAGAAGGGTGGAAGTTGGAGAAGCTTGACAAGACGTCACCTGCAGGTGGAGACCGAGACATGTGAAATGCGGGGGAATAAAGGCACACTGTGTGGAGGTTGCGGGGAACCCCACTATGTGTAGGCCTAATGAGGACTAGCTTGCGATCTTCCCCAGCTCTCAGTTGCTGCTAAAGAATCCAAATCTGGACAATGAAGGTATCCGTACTCCGGACTTCACCGCTATCAGACCGAGGCAGTCCATTAAATATGGGCATAGAGGATCATCAAGACCATCACCGCGGGCAGAAACGATGAAGCGTGACCCAATTCGGATTGCTATCTTGCAAGAATATCACCCTATATGCGGGGTGCAGATCATTAAAGAAGTGTTTGACTTGTCGTTCCTTGCCGTCGACCTCGTGGCTATTGAGGGACATTGGGAAGTCTGGACATCAGGGGATCTTGCTGTGGATATCCCGTTCCCAAGATTCTTCGTTGCCAAGCTCGCCTCGGTGCTAGATGAATCTGAGGTGAAGTTTGTGGCCGACTCCAGCCTGATATTTGGGTGTGTGGCGGGACTAATACGTTTGAATCTTCGGAGCTCCTTTCACAGAAGCATTCTTTCTCTCTGCCTGAAGCAATCCGCAGCTGGGAGTTGGAGCGGACAAATAGCTCAGGGTAGAGCAACCGGCTGCAGTCCGGTAGGTCACATATCTACCATTAAATCATGTTTCGTCCTTTCTTTTTCTCTTTATAAGCATTTCAAGTCTTCACATTTTTACCTACAGCAAAACAGTTGAAGTGGAAGGGCCTTATGGAGTTCGGGGGAAAAGTGGAGCACTGGGCTTGGGTCCCCGGTCCTGTCACCCCGCCAAATATTTTCAGTGCCCCGCGTCAAGTCGCAAGTCAATACCAGGTCCCAAGCTAACAGCAAAAAGCTCCTGCGCGACAAGGTGAATATCCAGCTTTCCCGGAATTCCAATTGTTCTCGGTTGTTTCCTTGCCTTCTAGGTCGCTTCAGGTTCCAATCCGAGAAGCACGAGTGATCAAGATGGCTCTCGAGAAAATCCAGCTCGACCTTGTGGCCCCCGGCCAAGAAATCCTGGTCGCCTTCTTCCGCGACGTCAGCGCATCCGCCAGTGAGTTGTTACAGAAACAGCTGTTTGCAAGGAATCCCGCGTTTGAGTACGCCTTTATCGACGCGACTTCGATTATATCGCGCGCCCACCTTCTTTCCGCCGTCTTCAACGCAGTGAATGCTGCTGCGACCGACTCTTTACGGACCCCGAATGTACACTCCGAGATTGTGATATCACTGGGCCCGAATAACAATGTAAGCCGTAGGGAAAACGTCCTTAGTCCTCGTGTCCAAAGTCTAACTCGTCCCTCCCCAATGACAGATTTCCGATGCCTACCGAAGATGGGGTATCCAGGCAGGGAAGACCTCGAACCTGATCGTTGTCAAAGTCCTTCCCACCACCTCTAGCGAGTCCGACCCTTCTTCTCCCATACCATCCTCGCCCGAGCAAGTATGGGCGCATTTAAAAGAACACCTCCAAGGCGCCACGGCGACCCCTCTGACCGACGACGAGCTTTCCAAGACCACGGACTGGGCGGCCAAAATACGAAAGTACTACAAGCTCAACGGTGTGCCAGCCTTGGACGCGATAAAGGACGAAGTGGCCAAGAGGAAAGAGATGGAGCGGATGGTTATTATGGCCATGGCACTCCGTGAACTGTAGACGAGGCCACAGCGGAAGTTATTGTTAAATAACCCAATGCCAGGGCGCTCTCTCAGAAGGGCGAGAAGATGGCCGGAAGGATGTCCCTCCTTATTGGGCTGGGCCAGATCTGCGAGCATACGATGCCTCTGTGGTTCCCCTCTATCGCCCGTCCGCCCACCGGTCTCATCCAGGGATCTTGCACGTGGAGATGAGACTTTGGGACGTAGAGTCAGGAATCGGGCGTATTGGAATGAAGAGACACACTCTTCACCCTTGAATGTAGAGGGCTTGCCCCGGACTCGACATCATGACTTGCGGACTGTGAGCGGAGTCATCCGGGCAGCAACGAACGGTCAGTAGACTTGGGTATGCGATACGGCGAGTAGCTGTCAATCACCCTTTTCCGTTTGCGTGTTGGTGTGTGGTTGTACTTGGGGGCCGATGAGTTGGAACTGATAGAATTGAATGAGGGTATGGAATTGATTGTGGCCAAATCTAGCTGGGAGCTATTCCGTGGAAATGGAAAACAGAACTGAACACAACCCCAATAGTCGCTAATCTGTGAATAATGGTGCAAGTAAGACTAAGAACAATGCAATGCAGGTCATAACGGTCATTAACTCATGGGCGGTCCTCCTCCAAAATTGCCACTAGGTAGAAAACCCAAACCAGGCCTTGACTCTTCTGGCGAGCTCGGCCCTCATTGCCTCTCTCCCGCTCCTCGTCCGCTGAACAGCATCACGGTTCTCCTGTGCCCGTCGGAGAAGGTACTTCATACACTCGCCCGTCGACCCCCAGACGAGATATTTGTACACATTTGGTTTCCCCGCGGCCATGATCTGTTGGTTGGCCTCGCTACCGACTACCAACTCGCAGCTGACCTCATCCGCCATACCCTGGAGCTGCGCAAAGGCAACATCAATGGCCTCGCCACCTTTGGTGGCTATCATTGCGGTTTGTTGTTGCAAGATCCTGCGAGCCTTGAGGACCGAGTCCCGATTATGGGAAGCAAGCACAACATCCACCCGACTTGGGAAGTCCTCCCCTTCCGGTGCCTTGAGGGGCGCGTTCCATTGTCTCGTCAGAAGACCTTCTGCGACGCCGTCATACGCGCCATCTGTGTCCGCCTTGGTGTCGTGGATGAGATGTCTCGGATCTGATCCCAGATATGCCCCTCTCACGAGCTTGACTCCTAGGGTGAAGCCTTCTTTTTGTGCCGTGGCCAGGTGACTGCTGAGGATGCGGGGTGTTGCCTTGAGATAGGCTTGATAAGTCCCATAAATTACCGCTGCTGGGCTGTTGCTGCCCGAAGATGAAGTAGCGCGGTTGTACTTGCGCATATACTTCAGTGTCCAGTCATCAATTCCCGCTTGAACAGCCTGCTGCTCAGCATCGAATAGCAGACGGACACCCCGCTCTGAAGCCAACTGGCAGATCTTGTCAATGGCATTGCCCAGCGCCTCCGACGGCGGGAGCTGCTTCATGAGTGACGAGAGGGCTTGCTGACCAGCACCAGTGAACTTAAGCGCCACAAAGTCGCCTTTGGAAGCTAGCTTGACCGTCTCTATTGTCCCTTTGGCCCATGGCTCAATCTCGTTTCGAATGATGGCTTCCTCACTGGGAGTCGAGTTGGGTTCCAGAGAGGCAGCCGCCTGGTCCTTGTTGGTCATGACCACTTCTTTAGCATAGCCGAGGATGACTCCGCTGAAACCAATGTTCTTGAGCCCGGCGACCGTTTGCTTCACTTCGGTGGCGTTTTCTCCGGCACAAAACTGGGCGTAGAATGTCTTTTTGAGAGCATAGCGCAGGAGAGGGTTCCGGTCCGGGTTGAGGAGCGGGTTGTTGGTGTGGGCTAGCAAAGACATGACCGTCAAGGACGGCGGTAATAAGATGGGGGATGACGATACGGTAGTTGTCATTAGTGACCGAAGAATGTTTGTCAGCGGCAGCACCGATAGAGGTGCCACCGGGGGTTTCGCCATTGAGTGTGTCGTTGTGGCATCAGTCTGGTGGTGATCTTGGACTGGTGAAGTTACGTCGGACCCAAGCGTTAACCCGACGGATGGTGCAGGCTGGTTCGAAGACGAATGGAGGGACCGCTGCGTGGAAGCCATTCTGGAGAAGGAAAGACAGGCCCCCGTGTCCAATGGCACACGTCGGCAGAATGTGAGGTTTGTAGGGACGGAAGGAAGCAGTGACAAGCACAAAACCCCAGAGTTTGCTTCGACTCTAGTAGCCGTCACGCCCCGGAGTGGCCGTTTGGAAAGGCATCTTGATGTCAATGCCATGTTCGGTCAGCACTTTGCTAGCTGCTGTGGCTGATCAAGATGTTCGAAGAGAATTGGACACCAGTGGCAGAGGATAAGTATGTAATCAGGAGAGGAGACTTGGGTTCAAGACTGGAACAGTAAACAATTGAGCAAAGTTTATCAGAGACAACAAAGTTCAATTCAACAGACGCCCGCGCGTACACAACCTTAGATATATAGGTACAAAGTCCGGAGGGGTCTGACTCTTGTAACAATAGCCCTTGTCTTCGTCATCTCCACCTCTTTATCTCGCAGTATCATGCTTCGTATATGATATCGAGGTGCCATTGGCACAATCATTGACTGATATGGGGAATACGGCGGCAGTTTAGTGTTCCATCAATTATCTTTGTCATTGCTCCGTTGACGCAGGCGATGATGTATGCGCTGTCCGTGACGGGCTGGCTGGTAACCGCAAACGCCCCCTATCTTTGTGGTCACGTGGGGCTAATCTCCAAGCAAAGGCCGCGAGTAGCCGCAGGCCAGCGGTGTCCCCATGGAGGCTTTGTCCTTTGACCATGATGCATCAGTCCGGAGAGGCTCCATTTTGCCCCACGACACGGCACAACCGCCGATTGATAGGCGATGATGGCAGAATTGGCCATTGAGGAGAAGCTTGTACTGCAGCATGCATCAAGCCCGCAGTGTTCTTGCAGCGTGGGGCGGCATCGGTACTGACGGAGCGAGGGAGCGCATTTGCGGAGAAGTGTGCAGTGCCGTCACCATTAACAATTGCAACATGAAACTCCTATCAAAGACCAATCTCAGAGGCTGGCTCGGATAGCCACTGAACAGACTCAAGTGGTCCCACCTCTTGTGCCGGCGACGGCTTTATTAGCGTCCCATGTCGGGTACGGGGTACACGCCATTGGGAAATGTACCCCCAATGACGCCAAACAATCGTCCATTGCTAGAAGTAACCATCTCCCCGGCGGTTGATGTCGGCGCAGGGTGACCGGCCACCGGAGGCTACATCAGAGATGGTCCCTCATTCCACAGACCATTTGTATCCGAAAGTCTTTGGTAATGCCGAGACCGGCGGGGATTACCATCCAGTCAGGTGATATAAATGAGAAGTGAAACTCTTCTGCTGGCCGAACATAGTTCAAAGCTTGTTCATTTTAGACTAGGGTCTTCGGCCTCTTGCGGCTTGCCAGCTGAATGGACGGTCGCTTGTGGTCTGAATCGGCGGTTGAGGGCGTCGACAAACCCGATCGGTCGGCCTCGTACGGCTCCAGCCAAGTCTTGCAGGCCGCCGTAGACGAAGCCGATCACGAGGGCAGTCCGGGTGGTTCGAGCAGCCATGGGCAAAGAAAAGCGATCTGTAGTAGGACGGCAATAGCAAGAGTCAGCAAGCCAGGAACCCAAAAAGCAACGCGATGAGATAGAGACACGCACTCCACAAACTGAAGCCGCCAGCTACAGTCACACAGGCTGTCACCGTGTTGAACAAATCGCTGGCTCCGCGATACGAGTCAAACATGTTTTCGATGCCAAACACGGCCGTGGTCCAGAAGCACACTTTGGTTCCCATTTTGAGGCCCTCCCGCAGCCCTCCATATGCGACATGGTAATTCTTGCTCTTGTGATATAGATACCAGCCCGTGGTGGTGTTGGGGAGCTTGTGCGCGTGTTCTGCTCGAAAGCGAAGGCCGGCCATTCTGCTGCCCTGGGCGGTTCCCAAGAGCAGGCCGACGATGAAGGCC